TCATTCACCAATTTTTCAGACTGTATCGCAAGTTTCACTATCGAGGGCACAGGGTAAAAAAAATCTGATCAATGCGGCCTTTGGTACAGGGGTTACGTGTACTTTTAACTTAAAAAAAACGTAGACACCTGGAAGATTCCACAATTTTTGTTAAAATGGCATCGTGTTTTGTGAAAAATGGTAATTATGCAATATTTTACGTTATTTTGAAATGGACTGTAGACGACGAAAAAAAATTTCAACAAATTGGCAACTAAAGGTCTTTAAAGAGAAATCTCTCAGCTTTCCAAATCACTTCTGGAATTTTCTATACGATCATGCGTTCGCAAGTTACAGGTGGTCAAAGTGGAAAGTACCTTTTCTCATATGATGACGAATAACTCGGCCAATAAAAACTGTACAACAAAATTAAAAAAACGAAATTAAAGAGAAATGTTTGCTTTTTAAAAGTTTTCCATTGGAATTACCAGAAAAAATTTCATTTGGCCCATGCATCCTCTCAAACTTGACCAACATTTTTTAACATTCGCTTACTGCGCTTCATCTTTTAAAAAAAAGGAACAAATTACATAAAAATAATTTTTAAATTCCCGATTCAAAAACTAGAAACTTCGGGCTACAAAACGCTCTGTCACAATATTTTTTATAGCTATTTTTCGCGAAGATATAGGCATCTGAAAATGACCAATATTTTCGGCAAATTTTAGTGATGCTTTAATTTTGGCGCCCAGTATATATTGTTGTGTGAGCGCGGCATAATCTCCAATAATGAGAGGACAAAGTTTATAAAAGGAAGAATTATTTATTTCAAGAGGAGGAGTACTTATCTGTGACACATCCTTCTCCTTCCAAGGACGTACCACCACTCTACATTGTCTATGATGGGGGCCGTTACCAGAACGACGCACAGTCGGTCAGATCTAAGAATTATCTGTTCACAATTGTTTTAACGTTATTTCAAGATTTAAGGACAATAATATATAGGTCGTTGAATTCGTCTTGACGTCAACTATAATATTATTGAGTAAAAAATATATAGTGACCATAAGAAAATCAAGATGACCTCATCTTTTTTATTAAAAAAAAGTTTTCAAAATTTTTTATATTGGTATTTGTAGAACAGGAAGTGCTGATTACTCTTTGTTGGAAACATTTTTTTGTCAGAGCATCGAAAATGCCTGAAAAATTGTGATGACATGTGAATAATGAATTATAATTGAATATTAGCTGTACAGACTTTTCAAAAAAATTAATAGAGTAATCTATAATTCTTGAATCAATGAATTTTATTACATTTAATCAGACAAGAAGAATATGTGATTATTTTCTTCTTGAAAAAATGTAAAATATTCAAACAAGCATAAGTGTTATATTTTAGAAAATTAGTGAATATAATAAATTAACCATACGGATTTTCGGCTTATAAAGAAAAAAAGCATTGTCATTTTTATTATTTTTTATTAATAAACTTTTATTTATTATTTGTCTATTAATAAACAAAAATCTATGCAATTATTCTTATTAACAAAGATAAGAAACTTTTTACTAGAGCTTTACAATGTATTAATTTATTTATCTAAAAGTTATTATCTATAATGAATCATCATCGTCTTGGACGTCTTCTTTTAACATTAATCTATGTAAGTGTGGTCTGCAACGCGTCTCGTGTAACGAGACTCGCCGCTGAAGTGCGTGTCACGCGACGCTTTAAACAATAATAACTTATGGGGTGGGACGAGGGGGGAAGTAATCTTGCATGATTTTATAGAGAAATAACGCCTGAAAATATTCCACTTTGATAGAACGCATAACTCTTTAAAACTTTAAACATACCCCTTGTCAAAGGTGAAAAACTTCGACGATTCTCTTTACTTCACTACATAGTATTACCTTTTTAATCAAATTATGAACAATAACTTTTTAATCCAGGTGCGTTCTCAATACAGACATGTACTATTCATAAAAAAAACATGAACACATAATGTTTGATAGGTTTTTGCGAGGAATCAATACGAAAAAAAGTAATTTTTTCGGTGAAAAGTGGTATTTATAAAAGTTTCATCTTTAAATGTTTGTTTTAACTACAATTTTTAATATACCTCATTACATTTATCGTTTTCGAATGTGATACACATTTAGAAAGCAATATACATTCGTTAAACATCGATATGAGGAATTTGATTTTGTGGCAAATGAACAGCTAACTCTTCGATCTGGCCCACTGTGCGACGGCGCCATCCCAAAGCTACTCTCTTTGACAATACACACTACTCTCGATTATTGTCCCAAATTCGGGTCCACGCCGGGACAATAATCTTCTAGGGAGAAATGCTTCAGACCCTCGTAAATTCGTGTTTCGCCCGAAGCCCGAGCCTCGGCAACAATAGCAGAGGGCCGACAAAGTATGCGCTTGACAGCTGCTACGCCCCCGTCCACCAGTGGTGGGGATAACGCTTGGACAATAATCGTGTAGAACAAGCCAGACGATAATCGAGAGGGGTCTATTTACAATACATGCTACCTATCGGGTAACACGTAACAATATAATGTCTGTGGTGAATATATCACTGCATTTTATAAAAATAAATTAATTTACTTTACTTGGTAGGATATCGATAAATGAATTCGAGAATAAGAAGAAGTCGTGTATTTTCTCTAAATCGAATTTATTCCTGCCCAAAAGGACAGATTTCTGAAATGTCAAAATACATAGGGTGTTAACAAAAATGTGGAACATTTTCACAGTGTGTGGATTCTACATGCATAATTAAGACGAAAATCAAGAAAGACGAAATTGCGTTCAAGGTTTTATGTCTGAGTTGTTAATTGTTAAAAACACAAGCAAAATACGTGTGAAATAGGTCTGGCACGATGGGTTATACAAACAGTTGATTCCCTGCTGATACACGAGATCGATCGATGACCTAGTTAAATTTTATGAATGAAATAAAATAAAGCAAACGAAATGAGACAGTTCAAGATCACGCCTCTCAAGTAGAATAACCCGTCGAGTCAGGTGTATTTCGCCCGCATTTTCAACAATTAATAACTCGGAAACGAAGCCTCCAACGCAATTTTTTCATTCTAGATTTTCGCCTTATTTTTATTAACACCGTGTATGTAAGTTGGAAAATTATTTTTCAACAAGTAAATTAATCATAGTAAGTAAATAAAATAATTCTTCATTTCTTTATGTTTTAATTAATATAAGAAAATAGATTTGTATTCTAAACGGAACATATAGTGAAGTCCTATGTGTTGTTATTTTTGTAAAATTAGCTGTACCATTTCATAAAGTTATTAGAAATATAAATCTCCATCTTGAATTCATAAACTCTGCATTTAATGGGTACTAATCCAGCGGGCCGTTATTACAACACGTGTATATTATTTTACTCCTAACTGCGAGTGTAGATGAGCGATATTCAAAGAATGAATCTGTGCTCTTTATTATGAATACATAAAAAAATGGTGTTTAACTTTTTGTTCTTTTTAGTAATATCTGTAACGTAGTACCAATTATCTTCTGATATAGGAAGGCCTAACACCCTTCACGTCGAGGATCAATGATAATTTTTTAGCGAAAATAAGCTGTTCATACTCATATAGTTAGAAACTACGTTTAAGTTGAATTATGATTCGCTAAAAAAGTACGTTTTTGTACTGGCCAGTTTCTCGTAAGCATCCTGCCCCTTTTCTTCAAGGTAAACTCTCGATACATAATTAAACTGTAAAAACAGTTTCGAAACAGCTATCTTGTGGATTTTAAAATTTTTGTTGAATAGATTAGTGTTGAAACAGAGTAAAACTTAATGATATTAAGTAAAAATGAAAAAATAAACTATGTATTTTTACAGCTAGGTCCGGATTAAGATTTTTTGTGGCTCAGGGCAATCAGATTTTCGGGTGCCTCTTTGGTTGAAAAGCGGGGGGGGGGGGGGGGGGGGGGGGTGGATTTTTTGTAATACAGCACAACAAAATATATAAATCTTCCAAAATTGAAATTTATTTTAAATAAAATTAAATAACATTTAATCATAACGCAACGGAAGGTATAGAATGGCCCCCACCTGGAACATGGAGCCCGGGGCTACAGGCTCCACTAGACCCTCCCTTGATCCGGCGCTGTTTACAGCTATGGTCTGTTCCTCGAAAGAAGAGCCCTGGGAGGTTTCCCTTCCTTAGCGCGTGGCCTGGTGGGGATCCAACGCGAGCTGCGTATTTCGTGCGACGTTGTCACGGTCTCAATGCCACTGTGTGTCTCTTTCCATCCTCCGGCACTTCGACACGAGAGCCTCTCGCTCAGACGCTCGGTAAACCAACTTCCTTCTTTACCTTGTGATTTCCACGTGTAACATTTAAAAACCTAAGTATTAACTTAAACCCCTTTTAATATGTTGCTCAATATTTGGGTACAATACATTCTTTCAAAAGAAATAAACTTTTTCTTATTCATGTATTTTAACTGTTGACATGTGAAAACGTTTAGCGTCTCGTCAACATTCTCTGCCATTTCCAGACAATAGATGATTGACGGGCGTGTGCCGAACGCAGTCCCCACTACTTGAGATTGTAGGTGGGTCCTCGAGAGGTTTGTAATACGTGCGATGGAGACAAACGACCGTAGACGAGGACGCACGTCGACGGTCGCAGATCATTGGTTAAGACGTGAAGAGTGAGAGAGACACAAGCGCCGAAGACGTGTCGCGATCGCGGCAACACCGAAACAAGTCGGGCCTACCTACCAGGGCTCTTCCTTCGTGGAAAAGACCATAAACTAAAAATATCATTTTACGTGCATCAATCGAATAAAAATTGATACTACTCGCATAAGACGTGTTGATTGTTTAACCATTGAGTTTTTAAATACATTTTTACAAGGTTTTGTACTTTATAAACAAAGTAGTATTACAAGCAATAATTGTTAGAAAATAAATTTTCTCGTAATTATTTCCAGTAATCACACCGAAAAATATCGTGTCTGCATGCGTTTGTTTCAGGTGGCATATTTTTCGCGAACAAAATGCGCGAACAGGGGTACATCACGATGTTGGATCCTCTTCAGGACGCGTTTGGCGAACGAATGGGGGGTCTTCTGTTTCTTCCTGCTCTCTGTGGTGAGGTGTTCTGGGCGGCGGGTATTTTGGCAGCTCTGGGTGCTACATTAGCAGTCATAATCGACATGGACCAGGGTGCCTCGGTCATTTTGAGCGCCTGTATTGCTGTTTTGTACACTCTCTTCGGAGGTCTTTATTCTGTTGCTTACACTGATGTTATTCAACTTTTTTGCATCTTCATCGGGCTGGTAAGTTGAACAATTAATTACTGTACTGAGGATGTATCTTTTTCCATTTTATTAGTCGAATATTATTTTCAACGATTTTCTTTCATCGTATATGATTATTCCAGTAGATGTTGTCCTGTTATGCACTTTCTGCATCATAGTAAATGTCAGAACAGACAAGAAGAGCTTCTGAAAGAATATTGTTGATTGTATCTTTTACGTTAGTTCGGTACATTTGGTTTATCCTTCTTCTTAACAAAGTATTTCTGAATAAAAACTTTGTAGAAATAGTAAATTATATGTTTTTAATAACATCTAAGCTGTTATGGAATTAATAGAGTCTTGGTGAAACATACTAGAAACCAAATAAAGACCATGTTAGCCTGTTGAGTATGAAAAATGTTATCTATTGTTTAAGGTCGATCAAGAGAAGCGTTTCATGCATAGGTATATGTAGTCTATCTAGGGTTGGCCTGGGCAACATGTCGTTGGTAAGGACGAGATGGTTCTTACCATCATTCAGTCCGTTTCCCCACTATTCAGTTGAGATGGCTGGTGATCGGCGATCGGCGTGCGGGACGCTACGATGGGAGGCTGCGCACGCATACTCGTAGCCTCTGTCCCATAGACATACATATACAGGGTGTTTATTTTAACTCGAGCACCTAAATTATTTCCGCTACTATTGAAAATTAGAAAACATGACCAAATAGGATGTACACGGTTTTAAGGTGTGCATCTGATGGCGATAAAAAAATCCTGTGAAGGTCATTTTAACGGTTCTTTTTAAGGTCATTGTATTTTTTGCATATTAACATGTATTTTTTATAACGCGGTGTGGTAGTCGGTGTCAAGATGAGTTCAACGACCTACACACCATGACCTTGACATGACCTTGAAGGCGAAGAAATCAGCTTCACTTTGAAGAATGCAGAAGTAACTAAACGTAATAAAATGTAAAACACATTTCATCACCATCATATGCACGCCTTAAAACCATGTACATTCTAGTTAGTAATTTTTTCTTACTTTTAATAGCAGCGGAAATAATTTAGGTGCTCGAATTAAAATTAACACCCTGTATAATAGGCTGCGCGGTCTTATGATAGGGCTGAAGTCGACATAAGAGAAAGAGGGCATTAACTGGAGCAGCTACTTCTCTTTCTAATGTGACTGTTGGTGGGGGATTCTCCTAGGGTGTAGTGGCGGCATTACATGCGTGCTGTATTCCTTCCTCTCATTGCCTTCCAGTCGTTTTCCCCTCTCCCTCTGTGATGTGCGAGCAAGAGAGGAGCTACTCCAGCGTTACTTCTGTCCTTAGGTCTCGCTTCATCGCTACCATAAGGCAGCGCAGTTTATTATACAGGGTGTCCTGTAACTGGTGGTACAAGCAAGCGTGAAGTGATTCTACGTGAAAAACTTAATCGGAAATGTCGAATAAAATTTTTTCATAAGACTAGACTGCTGCGTCTGTTAATTGCATTCCATTTCTATTTATTTCCAGCACGAATACATACGTTACAGATGAATATTCACGCTCAATTTTTCCTTATTTTCGACTTATTTTTCCACGTGGCGACATAACCTCGAAACGAGACACACGTGTTCGGATGATCTCTTATATGTACACCCGCGAGCAAACTCGGCTTCCAGTAGGGGAAAAAGTAACAAATTAAGGAAAAGGCCTCCTACCACGTGGTATTGGGAATTATTGAAATTTATGCCAAATTATCACTGAATTTAACATTTATTTCAGTACTTGGAATAAATTTACTAAGTGATAGTAGGTCCTTATCCTACGTCACTTTTTCTCCTAGTGGAAGCCGAGTTTGCTCGTGAGGGTACGACGATTGGTTGAAGCGTTTAATCGTCACCGACTGCCCAGAGAGCTGCCGACGAATAAAATGTAGCGGAATCACCTCCATTCACACGTATTTTTATTATTGGCCGAAACGGTACACACACAATCGGACTGTGTGGTCGGCTATAATGTAACCATTGGTCAGCGAGAGCATCGCAGGCGGGTCACGCAGCCGAGTCGAGTAGGAAAAAAAGCTTTCTCTCTGTTTTTTACTGGCTTGTCCTTTTGTACGTTCGGAATACTACAAAGGCGAGTGCCGGGGCTCGAGCTTCGGGCAAAAAACGTACTCACGAGGGTCAGAAGCGTTTCGCGTGGTCCACGATTATAGTCCCTGTGCGAACCAGAGTTCGGGACAATAATCGAGAGAGCTCTGTACTTACATTCGTATCTTCTGGCCAGTTCGTCCATCAGATGCTTAATCCACCGTTCAATGTCCATGTCATTTTTCGTTATACCAATACGGAAATTAAAAATTCTTCCCCGAGAAAGTCATATGTCGATGTCCTCTGCTGTGAATATGAGCGGTTGCTCAGTTCTTCCATCATTTTCTTCAGCTGCTTTAAGGGGTCATGCTCAGTCAAAAGATCGAAAAAAGCGTGTTCTTTTGGAATTTTTTTCTTAAAAACTATAAGACCTTTTTCAAAAAATGTGTTTGTGTTTCAAAGATAGCAGTTTCTAGATTATAAGGTAATTTTTTTATTTAAAAATATTTATTAGTAAATAAATGGTGAGCGATCTTCCGGATGTTTCTTCACAAAAAGTGGTCTGCCGTGATCACTGTAACTTCGTAACGGTTCATTTGAAATTAAAAATTCAGTAAGATTTATGTAATGGAAGAACCAATCTTGTCCCTGAACGTGGGGTTTTTCAAAATATTGATTAGGAACAAAATGGCGGACATTTTCCTGAAAAAGTGCGATTTTCACTTAAAAATCACTCGTTTTTGGTCAATTAAAAAAAAAGTATGGAAGGAAACAAAAATCCTTCGTTCAAGGACAAGTTTCTCTGATTTGAAATAAGGCGCAAAAGGTTTCCTGTAAATCGACACAGTAGTTTTTGAGAAATATTGATCACCGATTTGAAAAACGTAGTTTTGAGAAAAACGGGTTTAATGTTTCAAGTCAAGCTTACACTTATATGTATAAAGTGTTTACTTTTTAACGCCTGTAACTCTATCATTTTTAATTGGATTACCTTGAAACTTGCACAGAATATTCTCGAGATGTTGTACTCAAAGAAAATGTAGAAAGTGGAAAATCGATTTTTTTTTAAATTTCTGATTGAGCATGACCATGACTTAAGCCATCGTCATTCGAAACCACCCGCACCGGAGATCGTGGACATACAGTACGGGACAGGATATACCAAGGTCATAAACCGAAGGATCGAGCGGTGACACTCATTGATGTCGCTGGACCTACATAGGATCTTACATTTTGTTGTAGGGTTACATAGAATAAAAAATTACAATGTATAACTCATAATATTTCATTTACAAGTAAAAAAAACTGCGAATATTGTTTACTGTTTATAACATTTGGAGTTTTTCCCTGAATAGTCATCGATGTAGATATCATGAAACTCATTTGAACGGCAAAGCTACATTTGTCAGCTGGGTTTGCCCCTCTTTTCCAAAGGGAAATAATGCAATTTGTCTTACCTTCACTAATTAGTAAAATTAGCCGATGAGGAAAACTTGAACTTTTCAAAGGTTTGGTGATATACACATACATACACTGTAGTATGTTACTTATTCTGTAAAGCTATTTAAGACATTTAACCCTCACAACAAAATGTATGGAATTTTACCGTACAAATGTAATTTTCATATTAAATAAAGTCCATTATTCAGGTTTAAAATAAATTTAAAAATAAGGAAATTTAAATATACCTTGCAACACGTTCACAATAAAAATTACGACGACAAAATAAATTTCTTTAATGAATCGAGGACTTGTAAAGTTATAGGTTATAACAATAGTAATTGTTTTGCTTTCTCTATGCCTCATAGGTCCTAGTTAACGTTGGTTTATTTAATATTTCACTAAAGTTTAATTGTCAGCTCTGTACTAAAAGTTGTAACATCCCATTTTATACGTTCCGTTTAAAACTGAAGCTTCCTGTATACGTATTTTAAGGCGATCTGCATATCCTCTGATATACTACTCTATATGTATACAATTTCTGAAAATATGTATAGTATTATGATTTTGATTGCAGTGGATGTGTATCCCATTCGCGTGGACGAATTCGAAGGTAGAATCTCTTAGTTCAATGGATGTGGATTGGATCGGCGAAGTGCAGCCAAAGGAGTACTGGTCGTATATAGATTACGGCCTGTTGTTAGTGTTCGGCGGGATTCCGTGGCAAGTGTACTTTCAAAGGGTCTTGTCTTCAAAAACGGCGGGAAGAGCTCAAGTGCTGAGTTACGTGGCTGCCATTGGCTGTATCCTCATGGCTATTCCGCCTGTGCTGATTGGAGCCATCGCCAAAGCGACACGTAAGTTAGAGCCCTCAAATGATTTTACAACATACGTATTGTACCTTGATTTCCTCGTTCTCTTACTCCTGGAGCCCTGTAAAAATTAACATGTACATGGAATGACTGACCCACAAACCTACCAATATACAAAGTTTGCTTACGGTCCGTTATGTTTGGTTCAAGCAATCGTCAGTAGATACTGAAACTAGCATTTCAAAATTAATTCACTTCAAATTTGTCTGCATAACACAATGTTCTTGTTTATTTATTTTATTAATGTTTTTCAATTAATTCACATACAAGTTTTATTGTGCTTTATTACATATTATATTGTATTAATTAACGGGTGTAACAATGTACACAGTGTACTTAGAGCTTTTTATAGTTGTTATTTATAACTTATCCTTGTGTTGCTTATTTTAGTGATGCGAAATTTATAACATTTATATATTACATAAGAAAAAATAGGGCACACGAATCCTTTGAAAGGTTTGACGAAACAGTTCTTGCTGGTTACTTTGTCTTGTGAACACTCTTTTTACCGGCAAACAGAATTAATAACAATATTAATTGGGTTATGTGTCAGATTTGTTATTTTTCTATTACTCAGAAAGTACAATTGATATGCAGTACTATGAATACTGTATCTTTTTATTTAAGAAAGGTGGGAAACGATTACCGCGCGAAAAGTTATTAAAAACTTGTAAAATAGGAAGTAACTGTCAGCATAGAAAGTTTAATATGCGTTAAGTAATTAATTATCGGTTAGCTTAATTTTTTTACTCTGTTCATACTATTTCATTGATACGATATATTGACAAGCGGATGATTTACAAATGGAATTAGTAACAAATTTAGTTTATAACGATCAATTTAAAATTCAGACTTAAATTTTAGTAAATTGAGAAACGTTATGGAACAACTTCTGTATAATAGCAAAGTTTAATTCTTCGTAAATTATTCTACAAAATTTAATAAAAGATCATATCATCATTACCTTATTATTTTTATAGTACGTAATGCGTTAATCTTTTTTGTGCATGAGAAACGAGTAAATTTCAAAGCAAATAAAAATATTAACCAAAATCCGTCAGCTAATAAAATTTTAAATGCAGAAAAAAACATGAAATAATCGACGACAATTGTTAACGTATACCTTTGAGCGGTACTTTTCTCGCTTGAGGGGAAGGAACCTAAACTACCCGTGTTTCATGGGTACCCGAAGCTAAAGAGGATCGAATTAGACTCGGTTTGCTCTTCAACCCCCTTCGCTTCCTATTCGAAGGTTACTTGACATTTGCTACCATTGCAGACTGAGAGGAGAACTGCTGGTATTTACAAGGTTCCAGGGCTAAGCGGGTCGGTGTTGTAACGGAAGGGTGTGCGGGTGAAGGGTGCTTTGATATCCCACAGCGTGTACAATAGCGTGGGATTTTGCCATATGGCATGCCAGGCGCGAGGGCGAGGGTGGTAATAGGATTCGTCCACTAACACGTGGTACAGTAGAATCACCGGAACTAATGCGACACCGTGTATCAGTATCTTGTGTATTTTTAGTCCCGGATACCGAGACAAATAACTTTTTCTTTGTCGTATAGGGTGATTCATCGATATAGACAACAGGGATAGGATTACTTTTTTATAATCATGTCAAATCTTGGATAAGAAAGTGATGCGCGAAAAATATTATACGTACATACACGTAATTTTTCGAATAAAGATGTGCATTTTCCAATTAATTGTACAGAGACATGATATTTTATTTTGAATTAGTTAGTTGAAAATTCTGCTCTCGTGTAAATGCTATGAATGAATATTTACACGAATATCTCCATAACGTTATTTAAATTTTAGCGGTGAAATATTTGCTTTTTAAATGAATGGTCAAACTTTGATTTGAATGGTCAAGTTAAACGTCGAAATCCAGCTGCACAAATAAAATTTAAATTTCGACAGTCGAATTCAGATACATGTAAGTTTAAATTCCAAAAATATCGGTCGAATTCAAATGAAAAATCCATGTGTTGTATATGTATACATATACAAGTTTTAATTGTCAAATTCGGATCGAAGCCAAATTTTGATGATCAAGTACAGCCTAAAAGTAGATAAACATTTTCTTTTCAGTGGTAAATAGCCCATGTGTACTGTTCAATTCATTATTACCTAAGTACTCATTAGGTAACATTAAGATAAAATTATAATTGAATTACGGAGGTGTACTTAGCACTTTTAATCTAGATAATCACGTGAAAAAATTGTTCGTGTAGGATTTATCTTCACTAGTGTCAAGATTATAAGAAGGAAACTGTTCGTAATATTATAGATGTTTCGTTTCAGCTCAAATGCCTTTGAGTACTATACAACGACTTGATATTCATCTGATTGGATAAACATTAGAAATACGTTTGTAGATATTGATCCTGTTCGAGTACTAATTGTTCTTATATAATATTTAATAAAATTTCAAAGGTTAATTTTAATTTTTGGGGATCAAATTTTAGTTTCAATTTTAGTATAAAAAAAACCAAGCTATACTTTAATACGCGCGATTTTTAGTTATTTGTTTAGTAACGAAACGCAAACGCTTTTGGAAAACCTAATAATTCTTGATAGGTACATTTTTTAACAATGGCAAAAATATTTAAATCTGTTGTAGCTTGGAACGAGACAGGTTACACCGGTCCCTATCCACTTACTCAGGACGAAACAAGCATGATTCTACCAATGGTCTTGCAATATTTGACTCCAGACTTCGTTTCGTTTTTCGGGTTAGGCGCAGTATCAGCAGCAGTAATGTCTTCAGCAGATAGTAGCATTCTCTCGGCTAGTTCCATGTTCGCCAGAAACGTGTATAAATTGATCTTCCGTCAGAGGGTAAGTTCATCTTCGACGATTTCTGCTACTATGGCTTCATCAACACCACCATCATCAAAATCATCATCGTCACCATCATCATCATTTTCATCATAATCATCAATTCAAACTATGACACGTAAGCGAGAACATCATTGTCACCGGTTTGAACCAAATGCGGAAAAAAGTCATCGAAAAAATTGACAACTCTTTCTGAATAAATAACGTATAAATAAGGTTGTCGATTCTGTCGAAGTAACGTATTCGAAAAATTGTAACCGTATCAACACACTATACAATTGTATTTACCAATGGGAAGTCAAAAGAAGTGTATATCACAAGATAGCATTCTTTATAAATCGAATCTTTTCAACTTCATTACGTTCCAATTTATATTTAGGTCTGCTTGTTACAAGTCGCCTCATACACTTCTCTAAACTGAATCGTTCGTATTTACCTTACATGGCTAAACATCTCCTCGGTATCAACACCCATTGTCCTAGACTATAGTCCCCTTCTTCTCTACGACCATTTCCTCGAACAGGCGTCGGAAATGGAGATCATCTGGGTGATGCGCGCAGGCATTGGCGTAGTGGGTGTCCTGAGCACCGTGATGGCATTGACGATCCCCTCGATCTACGGCCTCTGGTCGATGTGCTCGGACTTGGTCTACGTGATCCTCTTCCCCCAACTGTTGATGGTGGTCCACTTTAAAGACTACTGTAATACATATGGTAGTCTGTCTGCCTATATAATCGCCTTCGTGGTCAGGATCAGCGGAGGCGAGCCGATGATGGGTCTACCCGCGTTGATCCATTATCCAGGCTACGACGAGGAAACCGACACCCAAGGGTTTCCCTTCAGAACAATGGCGATGTTGACGTCCCTTGTAACTCTGATCGGTGTGTCCTATGGCACACAGGTGGCCTTCCTGACTGGTAGACTGGCTCCTGGCTACGACATCTTTAGGTGTATCGTTAATATACCTGAAGATGTCGAGAGAGTTGGACCAGATCCGGCTGAAGGTGAACAAATGGCTGTCCTAGCTGCTGGAGCTGGCAGGCTTTATGGCAGCAAAGATGAATCGAACGGACGAGTTAATCCTGCGCTCGAGCCGGACTACGACATGGACCCGGGATACAAGATCGCAGGGATGACGGATAGCGACGTTGGCGGAGGTGGCGGCGGTGGACACCTCGCCCCTCATGCAGCAAACGTGCCTAGACAGCCCCAATCCAGCACCGCGTTTTAATTCCTGGTTCCGTGATCGGATGCTGTGACCAACAATAAGCGCGGCGGTGCGGGTTTGTGTTTTATTGGAGTTTGAAGTTTTTGTTGGTGAGTGGTTTTATTCAGTTCTTTTTTCACATCACTGTGTTTTTTCTGGTTAGTTTCTGGCGTGGGGAGTATGTTTTTATAGAAAAATAGATAATTCAGAGAGTATTATTGATAGTTTGATGGTGTATTTGATTGTCAATAGGCCTTTTGATAAGACGGACGACGACCTTTCCTAGACCTTATATGTTACACACGTATCAGAACGAACTTCACTTAAACATAACTTACTTAATTGATATGTATTCGTTTTAGATCAGACCAGAACCAAACGATAAATTACAGTCCTAACATAGCAATGCAGTTTTCTAATTTTTAGTTTTTACAATACAGTTTATAAACCCATTTACTCATGCATTCGTATTGAAAATTTTAACTCGCGATACACTCTACGTACGAGTTCCTCTTTACTCGTGCACACCCGTAACATAATGAGTAGGTACCAAACTTCGATCGAAATTAAACAGCGCATAAAAATAATACAGATATAACTTACCAATAATCCAGATCCGATCCAGACCTGATGTAGAAATAATTTAAATACAGAGCGAATTCGTTACACATTTGATTAACAAAGAATTGCAGACCTAACAGAGCAATAAACTAAGATTTAACCCAGAACTAACTTGGAACCCTGGATTAATATACATATCCTTGAATTGACAATACCTAACTGAAACGTCAGCCAAACTTCACAACAAATTGACGGTGTGTTGATTCAGGCATGAATCAAACCTGATATATCAAAAGAGCTTTTTGACGAGCCAGAAGCACATCAAACTATTTTTACATCTTCAGGTACTTTTCCAATGCATTAGAATCTAAGGATTTTTAGTTAGATTTCTTCAATAATTTTTTTGATTTCTCTTCCTCGCCTACATCCATAAAGCTCCGACACACCCGAATCTCGAGTTCCGTAGACACGAATCTTTTATGTTCACGTTTATAATCGTGACTGTAATATATAAATGATGAGTATGTCTGTCTAATTCAGTTCATGCGTACTCGATAGATATCGAGAAGTAAGTGGAACTCCTAGTCGAAGCTTTTTTGATAGTCTGGCGAGGTGATCCCTGCCTGTACCGCCAAATAGGCCTAGTAATTTCCTTGTTTCATTTTTCAGAAATATATGAAAATATAAAAATATATAAATATAAAAATTATATTTATATATAATTATATATCTATACGTATATACATATATAATTATATATGACTATATTACATATATTTAGAGTTTATCGAACTGCTTGAGAGGAGAAACGTCTTGCACGACCAATCCGTTCAGAAATCTGGGGAATTTCGATTGAGAATCGATCGTTACACACAATTTCTAATTTCTAATCTCATTAATATACCCATTTAATCTCATTAGAAATTAGAAATTTATTCAGGACGAGCGGCTGTCAAGATGGACTCTTTAAGTAAATGTACAAAAGCTCTCAACAATTCGTATTGTTATTAGCATAAAATCCTTAAATGTTTATACAACACAGTCGATGAATTCAATCTCAATTTTTTTGGCAGAGATTTACTTCTAGGGATTTTATTCTGGTGATAATATAAGTGGATGAGAGGTTTCCAGTACGATGTTACTACATAGAATGAGAAGAATTATGACCATGTTACCGTTTGTTAGTCTTCTTCCACGTTCCTCGCCACTCACGAGATAATTGATGTTAGGGAAAATAAAATTGTAAAAATATGAAAAAAAAAATAAGGCAAGAAGCTTTTGTACTCGATCGTTCTTCCCTTGCTTAGTCCGACTGGATATGTAAATGATACATGGACGTGTTTTTACTGTGGAAAAGAGGAGTTGGTAGATATTACTGATCAGATCGTTTTGCAGTCGCTCGTTGTACGAACATGCTACGGATTTCTTACGAGTTACGCGTGTGATTCAAAACCTTTTATTTAGCAAATTTAGGTACTTATTTAATTTATTTGCATTTACTTACGCTCCATTTCTGTGACTTCTTTATGTCAATCGAAAATGTAAGTTTCTCTAAATAAATGAGTTAAGAGCACTTCCCGATCAAGAATTTTCAAAAAATCGACAAATTCTGTTTGCATACTTTCATATAATAACATCTTAAGAATTACCAAATTAAATTTTGGAACGAAATTCCTGAAGGTTTAGATTTTACAGACAGATAAGTGGCCCAAGGTTGGGGCACAGATTACAGCTGCTGAGAATGTTGATTAGAAACGTATTATTTATGCACTATCGCCACTGTAAAAAATGCAATTTTTGTTGCATTTTTATTTGCCAAACTGTTCCTAATTACACTGTTTGGAATTCTGCTGGAGATCATTCAGGACCTTGATTTTCAGAACAATGCAACATGCGATGCATATCAAAGGCAGAAGTGCATAAAAGTTAAATAAAAAATTTATTTACTCAACATTTGTAGTACAATAAAGTACAAAAACTTTCATTATCTTACTGTATACTTTTTTCTGGAAAAAATCATAAAAATCCTATTTTCCGCATGATTTGATTGGGAAGTGCCCTTAAGTACATAAGTAACAATTAATATCATTATTTGATTTAAATAAACCACATGATATTAATTATTCAATTAGAAAATATTTGATGTTACAGATTAAAGTAATCTTAAAGTTAGGGAATTAAAAGAACATTTTTAATATACTTGAATTTTCAATCTTTTTGCGTTTAATTCAATATGTCTCTAATCTATAGTTCATTGAATCTCATGTGCAATTCGTGTGTCATTAAAAAGGCATATACGGGAACTTACAAGGAACATACGCCAACTTTAGCACGTTAATTTTGATGAACTTTGATATGAAGGTGGTATAAAGATAGAACATTTGAGAATATTTTATATTTTACTTGGTGAATTTTATTCTCACTGTTCTGACAAGAGTAAAAACTAAAAATCGTAATAATCGTAAACCCTAAAAATCGTAAATTAAAAGTTTATTATCTTCAATTTCGTGTAAACTAAGAGAGTGATAATACAGTTGTCAATATGAGTTTTTTTGTGTTTTCACAGCATCATCAATACTTTTATGAAATAGTCAATGTCGAAAAAATCGATCAGATGGTTTCTCTATCAATGAAATGGAAAATGTAAACAGTGTGATGGGCAATTGTGCCCATTCGGGCAAACAGTGGGCTTCGGCGGGCAAACTGAGGGCTTCAGGGGAGGGGAGCGAGGCAGGACGTATTATACCGCGCTCTCACTTGCATATTTCCCCCACCACTGTGTTCGCACGCTGCGCGTCGCTGCCCGCTATAGAGCTCGACGGGCGCTGAATTGCACATTAATTTTAAGTAAATCGAGTAAATAAGCATAGGACTTTTATTGATTCTGTTGGATTTCTAAGATTCTAATCTGAGCAAAGCATTACAAAATTGGAGCAATCTTATCCACATATTTATATAAACACTATTAAACTGTATGATTCCCATTCATAGTTTATGCGAATGTGTTTTTTACAGTCCATTTGATTTTGTTTCCTGTTGTCTGTATTAATTTATTTTCATTAAAAAATCATTAAGTCGTAATTACCTTAACTGTTTCAATATTAATTCATCTAATTATTGGATCCGCATTCTTACAGTGTTGATACTTATTTTAGTATAAGAAAATAACGAACTAATTGCAAATAATCAAATATTCTCCACAAATCGAATTCTTTTACCTTGTTTAGTTTTAGAAATATAAATACAACAAGGTTATATATTTAATTGATGTTTATGTAATCTGTACAAATTAATTAATTAAATTTAATTCGGATTTTTTATTTTGACATCAACTACGATTTCAGGGTAGTCTAAAAACCATTTAAATATGTTTATTTATTATTATATATGATTTAATAATTACATTATTGCTATTTTTAGAAATTTCTTTTAATATCATGTTAATTATATTAATCATATATACAGAAAATATTAAATTTAACCAAAATCAGTTCATTGACTTCACCTTCTTTTCCGTAAACAGAATATGTGTCTACTATTCTCAAGTGTCTTAGTTTTCTTCCAAAAGTCATCAAAATTGATCGATGTACATTGCTAAACGGATCGATCGTCGCACAGATTCGTTGTGTTTATTATATAGTATGTATACAGTGTATAATACATATAACCGGCATTACTGGCATTAAAGGAGACGAACAAGATTTAGAAACAGGATTTCCCAATACGTATACATAATGTACACATTATATAAACACACGAGAAGACTAAAAATGCCGTTAGATTGTTAAACAGATTACGAATATACCGCCATTGTTAATTTCATTAATTGATTTGTTGTATCGTTTGACCGTAGCCACGTTGTTCACACGTTAATGCCTATGTAGTAGCGTTATCGCTCATCGCAGTTGCTCATCCTATTATTTCTAGCTGAGAACAAGGTGAAATCGTGAGCGTACGTAATTGTTAAGCGATTAGTTCCTACTCAGCGTGTCCGAATTTCACGATGTTTTTCCAACGAAAATATTTGGTGGGCGAACGTAACCGAGGAGAATTATTTTCTACCGTTTTCGTTAATATTCGAATTCATGGGATACTCAACGACATTGCAGACTTCGAGGAACATTCATGTTTCTGTCTACGGGAAAATTGTTATTTCTGTTTATTGATACCGTTTTTATCTCGCCAAAAAATGATTGACAGTAAGGTATTAGTTATTGACCGATTCCAGAATTGAGCATTCTTCGAATAAATTTATCATTTTATTCTATTTTCATTTGAATAAGTCTGTGCGCGAATGTTTAGTGGATGTAAAAGTGAAACCACACTTCTAATGAGTGTTTGTATAAATAGTTCTTCAGTGGAATTTTTTTCTAATGAAGTTATTTATTATTCTTGTTTATAAAAATGCAACTTTTGTTGAGTGCACCTTCATCAAGTTTACGAATGGTTTCCATATGAATGTTTTAGCAGTACATATTTATTTGAGACTCTTAATTAATTATGAACTTTCATTCGTCATTTTTTATTTCTTAATTGGAATAAAGTTTGCCTAATTTTGAGTGAATGGTAGTGCTGCTGTACTGGACAAAAAATCCTTAAATAGAATGTCGATCTTTCAGCCTGTCGATAGGAGTGAATCGTCTTTTCCGTGATACAGTGAACCATTTTTACAATTTTCCGACGTCTCACGAAAAGTCCTATACATTGTCTAAGTAGGTTTTCCAAATTTTGAACAAATAAATTACTGATTACGGATTTCTTGAAACATAAAATCCATTTTTATGGGAAGCAGAGTCAGAGTTAAAACCACTGCTTTTTAAATATCTTGCACATAATACATCAAAATCCGTTTACAAGAAAAATTACCGTGTTTAAGATCATATAATCATGTTAATATCACAAACTACTCATCGAAATTGTACAGAAATGTTAGATACAGTCTACGATCAATTGTTTAAAAGTCGAGTTTCAAGGAAAGTGAAAGGAATTTGTCTCACTGGTGAAATTTAGAATACAAAATGATCATTCTGAGCGTTAAGTAGCATTATTATTATTAAAAATTAACTGGTATTTGTATTCAGATTTATAATGGTATGGAGATTAGTATTTTTTTATTTTTTCTGTACAAATATCTATAAATAATTATGT